TATAACTAAGAAGTGTGTAAAGTTTTAAGCAATAATCATTAACTGTTTTTGAGATACGGCGCGACATGTGAAAAACCCCTCCCCCTTTTTTAACAAAATACTCAATATCTCTAAAATAAAATTTTGAATCAAAACCAAAAATTATACAGATCTTAAGATTAATATAACTAAGAAGTGTGTAAAGTTTTAAGCAATAATCATAAATTGTTTTTGAGATACGGCGCGACATGTGAAAAAAAACACACACCTGTTTTAGTTACTAAGTCCCGTAACTCAAAAAGTTTTAATCTTATTTTCACCAAAAAGTATACAGATCGTTTGACCATCATAAGAAACAACTATGTTAAGTTTCATGAAATTTGGATAAGTCATTCTCAAGTTACGGTGCGACATGTTTACGCCGGACAGACAGACGGACAGACAGACGGACAGACGGACAGACAGACGGACGGACGCCGGACATTTGTATACCATAATACGTCCCGTCAAAAATTTGACGGGCGTATAAAAACGCATATTCACATTTCTTGGTCTTTTCCTACCGGTCATGATCGTCGCACCAGCATTTGTAATTGATTTGTGGGAGGTTCCAGGCTACAACCTTGATTACAGTGGGTCTAATTGCTTTCCTACCGGATATCCTGCTAGCTTGATCTTTGTATCCATTCCGATAGGCTTATCAGTTATCATTAACATTACATGTCTCATTTGTATTGCAGGGTTCATTGCAAAACAGTCATTTGAACTGCAACATGTAAGAAAATCTAATTTTTTTCAGCACATTCAAGTGTTTGCTCGAATTAGTGTTGTAACTGGTATGCTATGGACAACTGGACTTATAGGGGCCATTGTTCAAACTGAATTCATGGAATACGTATTTGTAGTATGTTGTAGAATTCAAGGTCTCTTAATAGGCATTTGCAAACTTGACAACAAAACGTGTATACCGTGCCTTGTGGAAACATGAAAAGTCGTCTACTTAATGATTCATAATGAACATGATGAAGGTTTCAAAATTCTATTTTGACAATCAAAAAGGTCAATTTATTAGTCGTAAACTGACTGAAATAACTTTCAGTTATTGCTAATATAGTCTCTTTTTTGTTAATTTTTGGTGCTTAGTGCCAATCTGACCAGTCAATTCCTTTTTAACACTGTTTTACTGTTTGTTCTAATGCTTTGTTGTTAAGAACACTTCACCGTCCAGGTTATGAGGTGGAACTCCATTTTTTTGGTAAATCAAATAAATTAAACCGGCAATAAAACTTCGAATAACCAAATATATTTTTTAAGTAGCATTGGCTTCTTAAGTCTTCATTCTAAGACTATTGGTTCCAAGAATACTTCCATTTGATAACGGCAAATTTGTTTTTTAGATATCAGACTCCTTACATACTTTTGAGGTCAACAGTTGTGTATTGGGTTATGTTATAAGTGTTTACCAGTATAACATGCTATTGATAAGTATGATAAGAAAACTTGTTATGGAAATATATATATGCATTCGTTAATTGACATATAACATAACTTTACTGCAACTAGATCAGAGCTGTTACAGTAAATCACGTTAACTAAGTCAAGCGTTTTGTAGTTTGGTGAAGTAATTTTGACATGAAAACGAAGGAGCTTGAAATTAAAACTCTGCCTTTTTCTTCAGTTGTAGCCTTTTGAGTAGTAGGTGTCAACATGACCTTCTGGATTGCATTTTTTGGGTCAAATGAATTTTCGGGGGATTTGTACTCATGATTTTGAATAGTACAGATTGTACTATTTTGAATAGTTCAGATTATTAGTCAATTTAACTTTGTTTATAGCTTGCATTACTTTTACATGTACAATAACTTGTATCTTTAGTGTACACATACTGAATATATTTTCCAGGTACTTGTAAATTTGCTTATGATAATGTCTCACATTGCTTGAGTGAAAACCCTTTAAAAAAAAAGGTTTTATTTGCTGTTTGTATTCTTAATTTATGATGTGTGTTTGTTTGTTCCTTAACCTTTGTCAACTTTTATTTATGTGAATAAAGAATTAAATAAGAATTAATTGCTCAAGTTTCTCAATATATCAATGATATGAATGAAATAGTCAATAACTGTTTAAAGAATAACAGTTTATTCTCATCATTTGCAATTACACATTAATTAAAAAGGTTAATAATATGTTCAGCACTAACAGTGTGACCAGATATAATCAAAGCGTCATTGTCCTGAAAAAGCAGGTTTGATCTAAAAAAAAATAATTGAAAGGGTTCTACAGAACCCTATGTCTCGCCTGCTGCTGTCAGAGGTCAGAGTAAAAAACATTTATTTACTATAAAAAAAAACGTCCATTGGTCAAATGAAATGGATGTAAGCAATTATAGGCAACCGTACGGCCTTCAAAAATGAGAAAAACTTAAACAATATAGTCGGCTATGAAAGGCACCGACAAGAAAAATATGAAACAATTTAATTGAAAAAACAAATGGCCTAATTTATAACAAAAACAATTTACGATAAACAAATATGACAGACATGAACCAACGACCACCATTGAACTACAGGCTCTTGACTTGGGACATGCACATAAAGAATGTGGCAGGGTTAAATATGTTTGTAAGTGCTCAAACCTCCCCCTAACCTGGGACAGTGGTGTTACAACACAACATAAAAACAAACTTTAATAAAATGCTCCACAATTTGACAATTCAAAAACAGAGCCCAATCCAAAATCTAAATACACGGTAAGGTTCAGCATATCAAAGAACCCAAAGAATTCAAGACTTTGAATTAAACACCATTGAAATTGGTCAAGAAATAAGCAATTTATACAAAGTATTAGAAAAGTTTTGTGTTTGGCCCATTTTTCATAAGCAGATGGGACCATAACCCCAGAAATCAATCCCAACCTTCCTTTTTCAGTATGGAACCTTGTGGTACAATTTATAGAGATCAATACACTTATACACAAATTATTATTCTGAAACAAGAAAACTGCTTGTTTTTGGCCCCTAATTCTCAACCAGTTAGGGCAATAACCCCCAAAATTAATCTCAACCTTCCTTTTGTTGTATGGAACCTTGTGGTACAATTTCATACAGATCAATACATTTATACTCAAGTTCTTTTCTGGAAACCAAAGGTTGTTTAAAAATCAGTTGAAAAGGACTTATCAGATCAATACAAAGCAGAAAAACAGAAAAACCGGATGTGGCAGGGTATTTATATGTATATATTTTTGTTTATTCATTGAATTCTTGATGCAAACACAGTTTTAGTAAAACTTTAAGCTTGAGTTTTACTGCTTTTAGCAAGTCTGTGGTCAGAATTTATTTATGAAAGCTGAAAGCAGATCTTTGATTTTTTTTTGCCAATTGCTTATTAACACTGCAAAATCTGCAGTTCACTTTGGACAATATCGTCCATAATTTGAGCCAAATATAATTCTGATGATTTTGACATTATTAATTTCACCAGGTTCATGCTGGTTGACAAATTTACTTATGTTTATAACTCTTCTTTCCCACTTTTGTGTAACAAAACTTGAGCAAGTTATTATGTTTACATCACAAATTCAAGTTGCCTTTACAGAAACAATTAAGAATTAAATAAGAACCAGCATTTAGGGTGCTACTCTTCATAGGTAGAATATTGCATAAGAATTTTACCTGTTCACAAATATAGTAAAATCAATTATTATAGAATAAGACTGTTATAAAATCATTTTGATAGTGTATTTTGGTAATTCTATCCCTTGTAATGATAGCCCTTGGGAAGTAATTTAGAAGGTAAAATGATTTTTAAATGTGTAAGAGACACACACTTGTGTGGTAAAATGTATTTCTTATGTGTAAAAGTTGCACAATTGTGTGGTAAAATGCATTTTTTATGTGTCATAGATGCACAATTGATTGGTAAAATGTATTTATGTGTAATAGATGCACAATTGATTGGTAAAATGTATTTATGTGTAATAGACGCACAATTGCGTTAACAGAAACACTATATGACTGTGATTAACTGACATTTCAATTCTGAAGGCTAGCTTATTTTACCAACAATACTGAAACATATAATTGTTATTTGAGTAGTTTCAATGTTATCAAGTCGCTCTAATGAACCTCAGCCATCTTAGCAGCATATAAGTACGGAAACATTTCAGCCCAACACGAACTACTTTGGCAACAACTTCACATTTAGAATATCCAAAGGAAATTTTTTACAACATTTCACCAAATCTGTTACAGCAATCTTTTAGTCACTTACTGTGAATTCATTATTATTCGTTGGATACCAATTTTCGTTGATTTCGTGGGTAAAGGTCAAAGAAGTACAAATTTTCTATAGGCTTGTAAACAGACTTACCATGAAATCAAGTATCCACGAAAATACAAATTTTCCTCAATCCACAAAAATTGGTACCCACAAAAATAAATGAATCCACAGTAGACAGAAAATTCACAATTATCCAGGTGGAAATTTTGGATGGTGTCCTCACGTTTATGACTTGAAAAGGAATCCACACCTAAAGATTTACATTCCAATTTTTAGTTCATTTAGTACAGGGGTTTAAAAGGAAATTAAACTGTTTCAGGTAATCATATGTAAAAAGACATTTCATCTTAAAACTAAGAGTGCACACCCATGATTTTATTGTTTTATTCTATTCACCTTTCTGGTCATTGTTTGGGAACATTATTGGGTAGAATTAGGAATGAGGACCACAAAATTATCTCATCAATATTTGGTTTCAGCTTTTAATGGGTTTTCAAATGTTGATGAACGTGTCTCAGTCATTATGGGCGAGGTTGTCCTATAGTTATAAAGGGACTGATCCAAGACCCTGTAAAATTTAATTTGAATTGGCCGAAATATTTTACAGCAGATAGTTGAAAGTTTGCAGACAGACAGACAGACAGACAGACAGACAGACAGACATAAGGAAGGATATAGCTCACACTTACATCTTGAGCTAGACTGGCAAAACATTTCCAATTTATAATGTTCAAACAAAAATGGCCCTTGAAAATGGATTTTATTACTGAACAAATTAGAGTGTGAACAATATCATTCATAAAGCTGATGATTGGTACAACTGTTCTGAAAATAATTTGTCATTGCTATAAAATTCTGTCAAAGTAGTATGGTACAGTGGTATTCCATGTAAAACTTGAGAATTAGCTGACCTAATCTGAAAGTATAAAAACAAAAAAACTATGATGTACTACTAGTGACACATTTCTTATGTTGCATTACCCTAAATAAACTATTCTATTGATAAATTAAGTTGATCATACTGCTCTTTGAATCTTTTACAAAAATGCTTTGTAAATATAAATAGATGGTGTGTACAATTATTTTGGTTCATACATAAATTCTAATGAGATAGTTTCACCTTTCCCTGATGGGATCCTTATGATTTTGTTCTATTTATTTTTATTTTTAGTGGAAAGCCTAGAAATTGTTCTAATTATATCAGTCCACATTTCAGTAGAAAGACCTTTACAAATAGTTTTAACTAGATATCATTGAGATGGGAGCCATCTCTGTCGGCCCCCCTGTGAATAATGTGTGGTAAAAAATTTGTATCTTTATCATTGGACATGGGGTTGTCAACTGAAACCAAAGTTTTTGACCTTGACCTTTGACCTAGGAAGTTGTACATACATTATGACTGGTGTTGGTTAATATACATGTCAAGTATAAACTTTGAAATCATAACGGTTCTCTATATATAAAGCGGACACAATTTGTTACAAACGGACTGACGGACGGACAGGCGGACAGACAGACGGACGGACAGACAGACGATCACTATAGGGCATCCGCCATTCGGCGGGGCCCTAATAATTTTTTTCCAGCTAAGATATTTGGTATACAATGTCAAATTTGAAACTCATTCATTTTCCTTGTGAGAAACACCAGGTTTTTTTTTTTATATCAAAAGACTTCTACAAAATGTTTGGGTTATCCATATATAGATTTGGTACATTAGACACCAAGTTATCCTATGACATTTCAAAAGAAATTATATGCCCACAAAAGATATAAATTAAAAATGCATTATACATTATAAAGTGATGGAGTCTTTAAAAATGAAGGGAAGCATGCAAGTTACAAGAAAGGTCAAACAGAATAGACCTTGGGCAAACCAGAAGCAGTTTTTTGCACTCATTTTATGAAAAGTTGAGACCACAAGTGACTTTGAGTAAACCAGAAGTGGATTTTATCTCAATTCTATCACAGAACAGGCGGAAACCCAGTTGAAATTAAACAAAAGAAATGGAACTCTTTGTTAGAGAAGGTAAAAAAGGACAAATTGGTAAATTTGAATTGTTTACATCTGTTACTATGGGCTTTAAAAGTTTAATGAATGTGCCTAATTTAGGATTTTATGCATATTATGTATGAGTTTTTACTTCAATCAAGGGATGGAGCTTCAAGATATTTGTAAACTTATAAATTATAGACAAATTTTCACAAAACAGTCGATTGTTGTAGGTGCAAATACATGTGGATCTTTTTTGTGCATAAGCATAAATTCCTCCGGAAAAAATTCTGAAGAAAGATAATAGATTGATCTTTTTAAAGCATTAATTCGCATCTCTGCCCCCGGCAACAGTTTTTGGAGACAAATCCCCAAAATGAGCAATAATTTCATCAAAAAGAGAAAGTCGAGTACACCTTTTTATGTTTAGGCGTGTTTGAGCTGACTCTTCTGTCTTGAAAACGAATAAATGAAAAATATTTCATACGATTCTATTATTTTTATATATTTAGACTTCAAGTTGATATAATAACATTAAAAATGTACAATACTAAAATATGAAATATATGGGTCAAGTGAAATACCTTTCTAATGAGTCATAACAACAGAATAGGTGTGTTTGAATAAATTTTTTTTACTAAAAGTACTTGACGACAGCCTTTTCAAGTGGATCTTAAAATGCATATCTTCAAAAAACTTCCTTTTTTCTGTGTGTTATCTAGGATAATTAGTCTTTAACCTCTGAAAATTTTTAGTCTGCCCTTCCACAAAATATTTAATTAGAATTTTTTTAAATATTTTTGAATTTTCGAAAATACCCCCTGACAATCGATCAGACAATAGTTTTTATTTGACCAAATGCATAAAAGTACATTAAGAGATGCTAAATAGCTACTGGATACATTTGTCTTTAAAAATGCAACTGGCATATAAGGATCGTAATGATGTAATGTGGATAAATTTATCGGTTTTCAATAGCTAAATTGACAGAGCATCATCACTACAATGGCTTCCATTTGTAAGATTATAAAAATTAGGTGGCATAATGGGGAGATAATTATGACAAAGTAGAATCCAGTCTGAGAAAAGATCTAGAAAAGTATATATTTTTTGAGTTGGTTTAGGAAAAACTGTGTTTATGAGAGAGGATATGAATATTTTTCTCTATTCTAATATATAAAATAATATTTAAGTATTGAATTGCAAACAAATTTGGAATTCAATGAAATATTTGGCATATCTTTATCAAGTTTCATTCAAACCTAAATTAAAAATAAAATGCTTCCCTGAGTGCAGCCTGATACGACCGCTGAGGTCGAAACCCTGAACAGTTGGTGCAAGTTTGGACACAATATTCAAGCTTGATACTGTTTGAATTTGGATTGTGATTAAATTTTTGACATAATATATGTTTCTGACACAAAATAAATGTGGTGAAAAATCTTAATAAATTGCTTCGTTGGGCGCAGCTGGATACGACCGCAGATGTCCAACCCTGAAAATAAGGGGCCAAAATGGACACAATATTCACACTTGATACATGTCTGAATTTGGATTGTAATTAAATTTTTGACACATAATAGGTTTCTGACACAGAATAACTGTAGTCAAAGAACTTCAAATTGGTTATATGATTTTAATTTAAATTCAATTTTTTGCTTTTGTGCAATACACTATGCGAATTGACCCCCCCCCCCCCCCCAGCCCCCCCCCCCCCCCCAAAAAAATTTTACCCCGTTTTTTTGCGTTTGTGCAATACACTATGCTGTTGAATATTAACCCCCCAAAAAATATTTGAAGAAATTTTCTTTTAATCTCTGAAATCTGAAATGAGAAAAATTGTTCCCCTCCAATTTTTTTCACCTCCCCCCTTTCCCTTATTCCAAAAAATAATTCTTTCCCTCAAATTATGGTCAGTATCTCAGACAATCATCATTTCTTAATACATAATTTACAAGAAGTGTAAGGGAGGTAATCAAACATTGTTATTTAAATTGATTTTGATTTTGATTTGAATTACCTGCCTTACACTGCTTGTAAATTGTCTCAATTGTCCTTTAACCAGAAAAACCCTTGTTTTTCCCCTTTTTTTGCCCCTAATTCCTAAATGGTTTGAGCCATAACCCCCCAAAGTCAATCCTAACCATCCCTTTGTAGTATGGAAACTTGTGGTATAATTTCAGAGAGATTCATACACTTTAACACAAGTTATTGTCTGGAAACTACAAAAATGCTTATTTGGGCCCCTTTTTTGGCCCCTAATTCCTAAACAGTTGGGACCATAACTCCCAAAATCAATCCCAACCTTCCTTTAGTGGTTATAAACCTTGTGTTAAAATTTTATTGATTTCTATTTACTTATACTAATAAAAGTTATTATCCGGAAACCATCTGTCTTCGGACTACGTTGACGACGATGACGACAACGTGATACCAATATACGACCAAAAATTTTTTAATTTTTGCGGTCGTATAGACGAAATTTTTTTTAAATTTTTGCAGTCATATAAAAATTTGAAATGGGTTGAAATATTTGTATCAATTTTCAATTGAAGATTTCTTGCAATTGCACAACACTGTGCATTTGGATATATCTTGCTATTGCGCAATACTATGCAATTGAAGATTTCTTGCTATTCTGCAATACTGCGCAATTGAAGATTTCTTGCTATTGCGCAATACTGTGCAATTGAAGATTTATTGCTATTGCGCAATACTGTGTAATTGAAGATTTCTTGCTATTGTGCAATATTATGCTATTGCACAATACTATGCAATTGAAGATTTCCTGCTGTTGCACAATACTTCATATAATAATGTACACGTCATGTTTGGTGTGTATCTCCTGCCATATCAGTATTTTAATAATAAATGCAAAAATGGACAATTTTAAGAAAAAAACCCAAAAAATTATGAAAAAAAAAATCCCCCCCACAAACTCAATGCCAGCTTTCCCTTTGTGGTATGGTACCTTGCAGTACAATTTCAGAAAGATCCATACACTTGAACATAAGTTATTGTCTGGAAACTAGAAAAATTCTTGTTTTTTACCCCTTTTTTGCCCCCAATTCCTGAACGTTTGGGGCAATTACCCCCAAACTCAATCCCAGCCTTCCATTTGTGGTATGGTACCTTGCATTACAATTTCAGAGAGATCCAAACACATAAATACAAGTTATTGTCTGGAAACTAGAAAAATGCTTGTTTTTGGCCCCTAAGTCCAGAAAGTTTAGGGCAATTACCCCCAAACTTAATCCCAGCCTTCCTTTTGTGATATGGAACCTTGTGGTACAATTTCAGAAAGATCCATACACTTACACACAAGTTATTGTCCGGAAACAACAAAAATGCTTGTTTTTGGCCACTTTTTAGCCCCTAATTCCTAAACTGTTGGTACCATAACCCCCAAAATCAATCCCAACCTTCCTTTTGTGATATTGAACCTTCTGGTAAAATTTCATAGAGATCCATTAACTTGAACTAAAGTAATTGTCCGAAAACCAAATTTGTTTTCGGACAACGACGCAGACGACGACGACATCAAACCAATATACGACGCAAAAAAAAAAATTTGCGGTCGTATAACAAATGTGAAAAAGTTCAATTGTTCACTGTATTCTATTCTAATTTTCACTTATGAGTTTTTTTTCATTATAGAAACAAAATCTATATGCTTTATTGTTACCATTCAAACAACTATCTCATTTACATTTACCTGCCACAAAAATACTTTTATTCAATCAGTTTCAATTTTTCTTCTCCAATGTAGTACTAATAAGTACTTTAGAAAAAAATGTTAAAGAGATATACCAGACCCTTAAGTATGCTAAAGAAAATACAGAAGAATATTCTTCTACAGAAAAAATTAATCACAACTACGAGTGATTTTGAAAAAAAACAATTTTGTCGTTTCTTATGAATATTTTTTTCTGATGAGCATACCTTAACAACAACATAGTCCCCTCTCTGTATCTTTCTTGTTGAAGTATCAACACAACTTTCTGGTATGTTGGTGTTGGGGACAATAACTTTAACGTTGCCATCATTTCTCCCTGCCATATCTAAAGCTGATCTTTTACTTTCCTGTCAAAAAGTTAAAAATAAGACGATGTGGTATGACTGCCAATGAGACAACTCTCCACCAAAGATCAAAAGATGTAGAAGGTTATCAACTATAGATCACCATACGGCCTTCAACAACGAGCAAAGCACATACCTCATAGCAAGCTATAAAAGGCCCTTAATATAATATTTGAAACAATGAGGTTCTTTTAAAGTAAAGCAAAGTCTGATGTGGACCATTACAACATAAGAATACAGTTTAGACATGTTTCCAATCTATTCATGATTTGATTCATTGATGTATTCTTTTAATTTTCAGGTCATTTTTCTCCATTCTATATTTTTTTTTTGGCAATTATTCTCTGTTCATTATATTTTAGCACCCCATTTTTCTATATTTTTTTTTTCCCTATTATTCTCTATTCTTTTTTTTTTCCTTTATTCTGTATTATTTGCCCATTATTGTCTACTATGTAGACCCAATCTAGACCCTAATATATATATATACTTATATTTATATTTATAGGGAATATCCATGAAAAATTTTACAGCACAATTTCTCAATAGAACCTGACATTGGAAACTCAACAAAAGTATTTTTTCACTTCTAAGAACATTACCCCTTCAATCAAAATTAACTGAGTGCTTCCAATTTCTTTTTCATTTAACTTCAATGCCTCTTGTCTAAACAAATCTCTCAACTGTAAGTGTCGTCTGCTCTTTACATCATCTGTTACATTATCTTGAAGTCGATGGTAGGCACTCGTCTTCTGCAGAGAAAAAATTGAAGAGCTATGATTTGGTAAAAAAATCTCAAGGACATTCATTTTTATCTGATTTATATTTCCTAAATCAAAGCGGGGATAAGCTGAAAAAGCAGTTTCTATCAAAACTAATTTGTAAAAGGTTTTGCTGTGTCTCGCTTTCATCTGGTGCTGTTAGTATAAAAGTGTAATGCAGAAAATTTTAAAATAAGTCTGACAGTCATCTACAGAAAATGAATAAGAAAAAAATGTTAATCTTAATTTTGCTCAGGGAGATATCTCTGGATTATGAAGAAGCTTCTGTCCAACTTTTATGAAATTCAAAGAAAGCATAACAAAGATATTGATGCTTTCAAAAAATACTAACACCAAATTTTATCTGAATGTTAAAAAAAAATAAGTTCAATTGTCCGTAAAATAAGAACAAGAGTGCACACACTGAAATGTGTCACCTGTTTTACTGACCATTGATTTTATGTTGAAAGTCTTAAAGATAAAGGTTTTACTTAAAGCATTACAGAAACTTTTTAAAAATCTATGACAATTAGGTCAAGGTCAGATATATTGTGTCAGATAGACATATACAGCTTACAATTTTTTTATACACCAAATATAGTTGACCTATTGCGTATGCTAATTGAGAAACAGACCAAAACACAATAAACTGTTATCACAGAGATATGTCTCGCCTTTTTGTAATTTTGATAATGCAAATATTGAAATTAAAATAGCAATACTTTAACATGTAAGTTATGCAAATATTCAAAGTCGATGAATATGGAACGCCACAACTGTCTTATGTGGAACTCTGATATTACTTTATGTTGTTTTATTATTACTTGATGATAGTTTGTCTTTACATAATATGGTTTTGACATTACGTAATGATGTTTTGATATAACTCAATATTGAATAGTCATTACTTAAAGATATTTCGATATTACACGATATGGTTTCGTATTGATTTGATATAGTTTTGTCATTACTCGATGTGGTTTCACCATTATTTAATGTGGTTGTGTCATTAGTCAATGTGGTTTTAACATTACTTGATGTGAATGTGACTTAAAGTTATGTAGTTGTTTCATTACATGATGTGGTTTTGTTATTTTGTAATGATGATTTGCCTATTCTTTATTTGGTTTTAACATTACGTAATGATGTTTCAAAATTTGACGATTTTACACTACATGATGTGTTTGTTTCATTATTTGATGTGGTCCTGTCATTCTTTGATGTGGTTATCCCATTACTTGATGAGGTAAAATCATGTGACCAATTCGGAAAAAAATATGTTCTATTTTTAAACAGATTTCAATTTATCATTTGTTTAATGTGCTTTGGATGGGTATCGCTATCCATTGAGTTAAAGTTCAAATTAAAGTTTGAGTGGTTGTTCAGAGTTATTTGGTATGAAAAAGGGGAAGTTGAAGTTGAATCTGTCGGCAGACAATAATAAGAAAAAAAGTATTAAAAAGTTTACAGTATTTTGGACATAATTGGGATATCCCCAAACTACTTGGTCTTGTTGTTTTTATCCTAAGTTCTCAAACGGAAGCAGTATTTTTGTAATAAATTTGTAAAATATTCCAGGGAACCCTGTGTCTCGCCTGATATTGCTGCTGTAATTTCAAAAGCGTCATGTTGATCGGCTGTACATTTATCTATACATTTATCGGTAAAAACAAAATTAAAAAAAATGTTTTTCTGTAGATGCTTTTTCTTGAAATTGAGAAATAACTCCTATACAAGTTTTAAAACACTTCATGGAGGTTTACAAATTTATCATGTCAAAACAGTTTAATTCGGTTTTATTTAACTAAAACAAAACTGTATGGTTTTCAACAATAAGCAAAACCTATACCCTATAGTGAGCTATAAAAGGTCCCGAAATAAAAAATGTAAAAAACTAGAAACCTAACGATCTATAGATAGATAGATAGATAGATACTTTATTCTCTAAAACTAATTATAAGTTTACAGAGAAACATACAATATAAATACAGATACAATAGTTGAGGTAAACAAATACATTATGATATGCTAAAAGTACAAAATTATGATGGCATACATGTTTAGTAACATGTATAATGAAAGGTTAAACTCAATAGAAATTTTAAAAAATGGAGATGGAGACGCTGATGCCACTATTGACGACAAAATATAGGTTTGTTGTGTCTCACTGCCACTACATTGATGTCGCAGGCTCGACACAAATCAAAAGACTTGAACTTTATTGTTAACAAATGAAACACTTCAAATCAACTCACACTAAAGTTACAGGGAAACGGGGGGGAGGGGGGGGGGGGGGGGGGGGGGGGGGGCTCGGACTTAGTGACAAAGCATAAATACTATAAAATAAGAATTCTCCGAATTTTTGTTAGCGAACTTATATGAATATCAATCTTTTATTTGTAATCAATTGAATTCCCTGATCGACTTCGCACTAATTGAAAAGTAAACTTTTTGGAATATCTGTTTCACATGTGACGACGGACATGTTCCAGTGGTCGTAACCATAATACCGTCATCTTTTCCTTGAATGTGAACTACCAAATAAAACCAAATCACTGGGTTTGTGCTTTCTCGAATAACAAGACGGGTGCCTTTCTGGAGCATCCGAGATCACCACGATGGATTTATAATACCCAGTCATACCGATCTATTGAGTCAGCCAAATGACAACTGTTTTGTATGCCACCGCAGCTGAAAGTTGGGGGCATAATGTTTTACCCCTGTCCGTCCGTCCGTCCGTCCGTCCGTCTGTCCGTCCACCTGGCCGTCCCATTATGGATATATAGTTATTCCGCATAACTCCTCCTACAGTTTGAATCCTAGGAAGTTTTCTCTTTACTGTCTGTTTGTACATATATTGAAGGTGTGTATGTGTTTTTTGTCATTTTTGGGGTATAAGCGGTTAATTTAAATGAGATGAGTGCGGGGGCATCACTTTGTCTAATTTACATTTTTTTCTCGTTTTGTGCTGTTACACAACTGTAACAGTCCGATGTAAGGTTAGGATTTAGCGCTCACATCGAGTTAAACTCCGCCACATGCACTTTCTTTATGTACCTGCCCCAAGTCAGGAGCATGTAGTTCAATTGTTGTCGTTGTATAAATGTGTGTCATTTTTTTTTTGTAGATTGTTTAAATATAAATAAGACCGTTTGTTTTGTCGTTTGAAGTTTTTCACATGGTGCATGGTGGCCTTTTGTAGCTGACCTGACTATACGGTGTGTTGAAGGCTGTACGGTTGACTATATATGATTTCTTACACCCACTGCATTTAAACTCTGGTGGATAGTTGTCTCATTGTCAATCACACCACATCTAACTTTATTTCAACTTCTACATGTATGTTGCGTTTTGTATACTGTAACATTGTTTATCTTTTGTACGCATACCCAGGAGCCCTCTTTTCGGAAGCCCGAGCAAAAGTCCTTGTTCTGCGATAGAAAATTTAATTACGAACTCATATAAGATAGCTCGAATTTCAACTCAAAATCTTAATTAATCTGAATGAGACTTAAATTTGAATCTTACTCAAACTCAAAAAGTGACTCAAATTTAATGTTGTAACTAGAACTCTACCTTTAAATGTGACTCAAACTCGAAGTCCCAACTCGAAACTCAATGCTAACTAAAACTTTAATTCTAATAATGACTTGAATTGGAAATCGAAGACTAACTCAAAGTATAACTCAAACAGTAACCCGAACTTTAATTTGAACTCTAATTCGATGGATGGCCACACTCATCCAAGGCACATACAACATGGAAATCTATCTAAAAATAGAACAGGTTTTTCCGAATTGGTCACGTGATTTTACCTCATCAAGTAATGGGATAACCACATCAAAGAATGACAGGACCACATCAAATAATGAAACAAACATATGGAAAGCCTCAGCTGTCATATATTAGAGATTTACAAAACGTTATGCTGAAGCTTAAAATGTAAAGTTAAGACAGCGTGATGTTGAATTGAGTCACCAAAATTCTTACTCTAAATTACAATATGCAAAGTTGAATTTGCGCAATGTTGACTTGCAATGACAAGTGCTTTAGTCGTGATAGTATAATGATAAGTCACGATGTTGTGATGATATGCCAAACATACGTGACGTTGGGTTTAAAGTACATGATGTGAAGTTGACGTTGCATGATGTTAGCTTGCAGATTGATACTGCTCAGTCATCCACATCGACAGCTATGATAACAAATAAAATGAATAGCTAAAATGTATGGTGCTGACTTGTTATTAATAAATGTCGAGCTGAGATAGTACGATGTTATATCATTGTGATATAACGATTGGTCTATCATGCAATCTGTTGATTTAAAACACCATGATGCACAGTTGAAAGTATATGATGTTAAGTTAAGATAACACGATGCTACACCACTATATTGAAACGAAATGTTTACCATACAATTTGTTGACTTAAAACAACACGATGCAACGTGTTGAGCTAAGATGCTCACTTGAAACTACAGGACGTACAGTTGAAATTTTGTAATGCTAAGCTACTATAGCACGATGTTATATCATTATAATGTCACAGTAGGCTTATTATACAATTTGCTCATTTAAAACTACACAACGTACAGTTGAAAGTACGTGATGTTAAGCTAAGATAGCACGTTGTTATATCATTATAATGTCACGATAGGCTTACCACACGATATTCTCGTTTAGAACTACACGACGTACAGTTAAAAGTACGTGATATTGAGCTATGATAGTAATATCTTATATCATAATAATATCACGATAGGCTTGCCATACAATATGCTCATTTAAAACTACACGACGCACAGTTGAAAGTGCGTGTTGTTGAGCTAAGATAGCACGATGTTATATCATTATAATGTCACGATAGGCTTATTATACAATTTTCTCATCTAAAATTACACCACGTACAGCTGAAAGTACGTGGTGTTAAGCTAAGATAGCACGTTGTTATATCATTAGAATGTCACGATAGGCTTACCACACGATATGC